ACAACCACAAATGTTCCATGAGATGGAAATCTTTGCAATGGCCACTCCAAAACATGTGCTCACTTTGATACTTTTTTGGCCATATACTTGGGATTAACATCTTTAGAATCAGATTTTTTTATTGCTGTTGTAAGGAATAGGAAGTCACAAACTAGGAATTTTATTTTCTATATGGTGCAATCAAAAGTAAAAATAAAAAAGTGACTAGTCCATATGACGCGGTCCTGCAGCGATGGAAGACTGCAGCCAATCACCCACTCAGCAGAGCGCGCAATGCTGTTGTTTCTGATGCGCTTGTCCTTGACAGTGGCTCCAGTGAACCACGCGGTGATGGAGGAGGTGAGGATGGACTCAGTGATGGCTCTGTAAAACTGCAACAGCTGTGCAGGCAGCTTAGCTTTCCTGAGCTGCTGCAGGAAGTACATAACCTGGGCCTTCTTGATGAGAGATCCTGGGTGATGGTGGTGCCCAGGAATCGGAAAAAGTCCACAGTGGTGTTGAGGTATCTGTCAGTATTCAATATTTTCTTGCCCAGGCGCGCGCCAGTGAACCACCTGAAGGTGCAGTCGAGTACGTTGAGCAGAAATTACAGAATGTTGTTGAAGGCAGAGGTGAAGTCCACAAACAGGTTTTTGGGGAGTCCATGTGCTGCAGGATGAGGCGACACCTCCACTTCATCTTTCAAGAGGATGAAGTGGAGGGCTTGGTTTATGCTGTTGTCTACAGATTGGGTTGCCATGTAGGGGAGCTGCAGCGGTTTCAGGAAGGTGGAGGTGAAGGATTTGAGGTGGGCGAGGACCAGTTCATCTAAAGACTTCATGACTGATATGCGTGCCACAGATCTGTACTAATTAAGTCCAGTGATCTGGGTCTATAACTTATAAGCTGATAAGTTGCTTGAATAATTCCACAATTTGTTCTTCTTCATGATGACATCTACTGTACTTCCTTAAGTGCATCCGTTCTTCCTCCAACAATACAGCTCATGAAACTGCTTTAGAGTTGGGATGGTGTTCTCTTGCTTTCAAGAATTCCTCCTTTTCTCTCAACAGACTTGAACTCGGTCCTGGATCTATAGCCTGTCCATTCTCTCGCTGCGGGCGACTGCTGTTGTAATTCAAAAATCTATTTATTTGATTTCCCTCTAAAGGTAAAAGACTTGCACTTTGGGTCATCGTACACTCCTCAAGACAAAATGAACCTTTTTGAATTATTTGTACAGGACTCGTTTTTACAATTATCTGCTTCTGCTCTCAGGGCAGGAGTCTCCTGCCCGTCTCAAATGTTTTTGAGACATGTTTTTGACCCATGCGCAGAGAGACTTTGGGCCATTTAACTAGGGCTGGGCGATAAAACGATAAAAATATATATCGCGATAGACACATGTTCGATATCAATAGAAAATGGGGCCGATAGAATGTTCGATAGTTTAAGGGTGTATTCAGACCTGAAAAGTCCTTTGCTCCGCTTGCTTGATCCGAATCAAAAGCAGACCAAACTTTTTTCTTTTGCTCCGGTTTGTATTCAGACTGTACTTTTTGCAAGTGAACTTTTTTATATAAACATATCGACACGTGTGACGATCGGCGCTCCTATTGGACAGAGAGAGCTCACGGAGGATAGACGCGGAACCAGAGGAAACCATTGAGGGCTCGTATGTGCAGCATGTCTGCTCTGCCTATGTTTGCTCTTTTTAGAGCAAAACCACCTTCAACATCAACAGCAGCAGCTCTTATGACACAGGCCAAACACGTTGTTTTAAATATTGGAAAAGCGTTGGAGAATGCGTGAGGAGAAAGCCGAAGGAGACTGTCTGCGCTCCGTGCCCTGTCCCACACATGGATCTATGATAATAACGGCCCTGTTCAGCATTGTGGATAAACCATGGATCTATAATAACCACGGGACAAACAGACGCTGAGGATCAGGTAGGAACCAAAGAACACAATTCACTACATGATGCGGGATATTTCTTTTTGAGACGTGAGTCAAACAGTGTCAGGTTTTTAATAATGCAAAGTATTTAAAGATGCTGCCATTAACATCACTGTAAACTGTGAACAGTTGTAACTCCATAAGCCTGTTGCACAGCGTCTCCTCACTGCTCCAGGTCTGCACACGGCTCAGTGTTGTTGTGTAGCGTTAGCAGCATAGTTAGCAGCATAGTTACCAGCATAGTTAGCATCATAGTTAGCCGCTGCGTGGCTAATTCCTCAGTTTCTGTCTGCGGCTTGTTAAGCCCAAAAAATGCGCACGTATCTTGGAGTTGTGTCGGATCGACACCGGATGTATTCAGACCTGATTCGACTTGGACCAGAATTCGTTTGGAAGCGGACCGAGACCACCTCAAAAAGTGGGTCTCGGTTCGGTTCTTTGGTCCGTACCAGGATTCGTTTGTGTGTATTCAGACCTGCATAAAAGATTCGGATCAGAGTTCCAAACGAATCCTGGTCCGTTTAAAGTGGAGCAAATGTGCAGGTCTGAATACACCCTAACTTAACTCCGTTAGAAAAAACACAAAGTACAGTAAAGTCATAAGCGCGCGGCATTCTGGGGGACGTAGGCAGAGGCTTCTTGACCTACTGTATATCGGCCGAGCATGAACCGCAAAACATTCTGGGAAATGCAAAAACACAAACTACCGGAACAGTCAATGGCCGCACGATGCGTAGCGTCCATGGATCTATAGACTGTGTTTCAATGCCATGTCAATGGTTATGCTTGTCTGTGCGAGGAATAGCATGTGCGGCGCGGTAGAGGCAGTGGGCATAGCGACCCGATGCATGCTGCAAAAGCAAGAGATGAACTTTTTCCTTGGGAAGCACGTAAGCCGCACGGAGCCGTCACGGGGACACAAGACACTCAAAAACAGCCAAAACAGGAGCTAAAGCAGGACTAACAATGGGGGACACTGTGCTTGTGAACATATGCCTCCAGCCTGGGTTCTCATTCCCCCGTGACTGCAAACAAGGGCTGCTAATTTGTGTTAGCCGACATGACAAATGTATTTATTTATGTTTGGAAAAAAAAAAATTAAAAAAAAAATCTATAATTATTGATGTCGACTGATATGAATCACTTATGGCTGAAAACTATATCACAAAATATTGCCCAGCCCTGAATTTCAACGTCTACAATTTTCCTGAAATTCAACGTCTACTAAATGATTGGCCTCTGTAGCTGAATTTGAGAGCTTATACTTGTGGCTTTCAATAAGAATGGAGAGTATTGTTATAAACCTTCTGTAGAACACAAAAATATGCATCTTCCACACAGGCAATATAATATATCAACCAAAAATAAGGAAACAAAAATTTAGGTACCCGAGCTATGGGTAACTACGGGGGAGACTCTGAGAAGATGGGAAAAACCCGCACGTGCAACAAGCTGAGGATTGTTCTTTCCGCGCGTCTATGGCTCTGTCCGCACGTCTATGGTTCTTTCCTCGTGGGTTAGGGTTTGTCAAAACAGCTGTCGGTACAAAGCGGCTCCTGAGGTCAGAGCGGAGGATGTGAATCCTGTTCGAGCACGTAATGCAACGGTCACATATTTCACAGAAAAAGTCGGAATTTGCGGATCCGCAGAAAACTCTCATCGCTGGTATATCCTGATGCATTTAATTTGTCTAGAGAATTTATCAATTAAGAGAATTGGTCGAAAAAGATGACCAATTACCAAAAGATGAACAGATGTTTCCGCTTTCCCGGCCTCAACTTTGCTCCTTGCTCGAAACATAGAAATGAATAAACACATAAATAAGAAATAAATTAACTCTAACAAGTAGGTGTGGTTCAGATAAAATCTCTGTCCATCTAAACGTCTGACTTTGTAGAATTTAATAAAAAACCCCATTGTAAAGTAGTTTGGGGAGATTGATTCACTTGTGGTCCGTTGAACAAACACGAACAAAGAAGAGCAACAATCTCCAGAACAATTTGCCCAATTCCGGTGTTTTACTGTCTATTCTCTGACCTCCACCATTAAAATCATTGCTTTTAAGAGCAGGCTAACTAATTACCTCAATATTTTATTTAACAATAATTTAAGGTGTTAAGAAATAAAAAGGGGGTGGAATGCAGACAAGCCTAGAAACGTTTCTTCTAACTTTAAATAAAGGTCTGTCATGTTATACTAGATGCTATATGATGTTGTATACGATGTTGGAGTAAACACAGCCCATGAGAAGTGTTGTGACTTTTTTGCACTCACGATTGCACAAAAAAACTGGTGGAACAGCAAGATTGCGAAGATGTTCTCACTTGTTTTTTTTATAGACAACACTGTAATAACTGTAGAATCAAATGAAAAAAAAAAAGTTTGATTCTAATTCATTGCCTGGTATTCAATGTGTGAAAATCATTAAAAAAACAATAAAACGGTAACAATAAAATGTTCACATGCCTTTTGTATTTGATAATCAATAGAAGAATAGCGGGGGTCATTTAATATTGGTATTTTTTTTCGATTGTGCATCATACATCACAAGTCATTATCCAGGCTTAAACAAATGCATGTTTTGAAATTGGAAGAGGGAACCATCTGGGTGCCGTTTGGACGGAGACAAATCAAACCCATTAATTTGTTTATCCTATAGCGCAATGCAGTTTAAAGTTAGTTCCTTCTTCCAGCTGCATTACATTGTTGGCCTACAACTCTGAGCTTGTGTGGCATTTATGCAAATATCCAAAACCTTAAAAACCTTTGCAAAAGACATGGGTTACAGCAACATGTGCTGGATTTGCCCTGGCTCCATCCTGCTAGTGGTCCAAACAGGCCTATCAGAGACCTGTGTGGAGGAGAGATTTTAATTGAGGGCTGTAAGGTCAGTCCTTCTCTGTTTTGTCTGTGTAAAATGCTTAGTAATATGCTTATAGTTTGACATTTCAATTCTACTGCAAAGACTACAGACACAAATCCGTCCATATATTTTCATTAACAAAACAGATATTTTGTTCCTATTGGAAATTGTAAAAGATCTCTCTCTTTTCTCTCTCTTGCAGAGCACAGAGAACAGTCCTGCCAGCAGTCTCCAGTCTCTTCCAATCAGCCCCTGTAGTGAGAAGTCCCTTCCCTTTAAGGTAAATATCGTTTATGACACTCTACTCTTTGGCGTCTACAATTAAGGTGCAGTACTGGACTTTAGTTTAATCAGACGGGCAGCGTGCAAGCACTGATCCTGCAGGATATAACGCCTTCCTCTGATCCATGTGTCACCTCCATTTTTTAGTCTTATGAGAACAATAAAAGAGCTTTTCAGGATCTAGGCCTAATGAATCACACACAGATGGAGGGGGACGGGTAGGGGGAGGAGGAGGAGGAGGAGGAGGAGGAGGTGGTGGAGGAAGAGGAGGGATGAAAAGTAAGGATATAATCTCAGAATGGAGAGAGTAAAGAAAGCGTGTTAGGACAGGCTTTCACAGGCCCTGTCCATTAAAACTTCAGAAAAACAGTGTTCATATGCATATTAGTGTTGATCTAGCCTGGTCGTACCACACCATGATTCAAATTACATTTCATACTAAGGTCTGGAGGTGCTCCATTGAGCTCCGTGAACAGGTGGGAGGGGTTAACTCCTTTTGCATATTGAAACGATTGGATCTGAGTTTACCGTCACGTATGTAATGCGCCCGAGTGAGTTGTTAGCATTTAGCCTAGCCATCGCTAACAGAGTCCGTGAGGAGTAGCACCACAATCCTTGCCAGCAATTAAATTTGCTAAACATTCCTCTTGCTCCGGCTTCAATTTCTGGATAGAACCAGACTGGATAACTTAACTATCGCATTATTCGCCATTGCCAAACTACAACCTGTCCGTTCGACGCAAACTCTTGACGTCACCCACATCTAACTAAAACACCCGCCTCCCGCGCTCACTGATTGGTCGGATAGAATTCAACCGATTGTAATCGCAAACACAGGGACCAGACCCAGACGTTACATGCAGGGTAATGATAATTGAGCGGAGTATACTAATGGCTATGGCCAGGCTAATGTTGACCCAGAATAGAAAGGAATACTTACAACAAATAATTACTCCCAGTATATATGATTTTTTTGATATAAAAATAGGGATTGAGATGAGAAGCTATACTTCATGTCTTCTACTATATATATGTTCGATTTAACACGGCATTTCTATTGACTGACAAGTTGGAACCAGTGAATTTACAGTGCCTTGCGAAAGTATTCGGCCCCCTTGAACCTTTCAACATTTCGCCACATTTCAGGCTTTAAACATAAAGATATAAAAATTAAATTTTTTGTCAAGAATCAACCACAAGTGGGACACAATCGTAAAGTGGAACAAAATTTATTGGATAATTTAAACTTTTTTAACAAATAAAAAACTGACAAGTTGGGCATGCAATATTATTCGGCCCCCTTGCGCTAATACTTTGTAGCGCCACCTTTTGCTGCAATTACAGCTGCAAGTTGCTTGGGGTATGTCTATCAGTTTTGCACATCGAGAGACTGGAATTCTTGCCCATTCTTCCTTGCAAAACAGCTCGAGCTCAGGGAGGTTGGATGGAGAGCGTTTGTGAGCAGCAGTCTTCAGCTCTTTCCACAGATTCTCGATTGGATTCAGTTCTGGACTTTGACTTGGCCATTCTAACACCTGGATACGTCTATTTGTGAACCATTCCATTGTAGATTTGGCTTTATGTTTTGGATCATTGTCCTGTTGGAAGATAAATCTCCGTCCCAGTCTCAGGTCTTTTGCAGACTCCAACAGGTTTTCTTCCAGAATGGTCCTGAATTTGGCTCCACCCATCTTCCCATCAATTTTAGCCATCTTCCCTGTCCCTGCTGAAGAAAAGCAGGCCCAAACCATGATGCTGCCACCACCATGTTTGACAGTGGGGATGGTGTGTTCAGGGTGATGAGCTGTGTTGCTTTTACGCCAAACATATCGTTTTGCTTTGTGGCCAAAAAGTTTGATTTTGGTTTCATCTGACCAGAGCACCTTCTTCCACATGTTTGGTGTGTCTCCCAGGTGGCTTGTGGCAAACTTTAAACGAGACTTTTTATGGATATCTTTGAGAAATGGCTTTCTTCTTGCCACTCTTCCATAAAGGCCAGATTTGTGCACGACTGATTGTTGTCCTATGGACAGACTCTCCCACCTCAGCTGTAGTTATCTGCAGTTCATCCAGAGTGATCATGGGCCTCTTGGCTGCATCTCTGATCAGTCTTCTCCTTGTTTGAGATGAAAGTTTGGAGGGACGGCCGGGTCTTGGTAGATTTGCAGTGGTCTGATACTCCTTCCATTTCAATATAATTGCTTGCACAGTGCTCCTTGAGATGTTTAAAGCTTGGGAAATCTTTTTGTATCCAAATCCGGCTTTAAACTTCTCCACAACAGTATCTCGGACCTGCCTGGTGTGTTCCTTTGTCTTCATGGTTCTCTCTGCGCTTTAAACAGAACCCTGAGACTATCAAAGAGCAGGTGCATTTATACGGAGACTTGATTACACACAGGTGCATTCCATTTATCATCATCAGTCATTTAGGACAACATTGGATCATTCAAAGATCCTCACTGAACTTCTGGAGTAAGTTTGCTGCACTGAAAGTAAAGGGGTCGAATAATATTGCACGCCCCACTTTTCAGTTTTTATTTGTTAAACAATTTTAAATTATCAAATAAATTTCGTTCCACTTCACAATTGTGTCCCACTTGTTGTTGATTCATGACAAAAAATGAAAATTTTATATCTTCATGTTTGAAACCTGAAATGTGGCGAAATGTTGAAAGGTTCAAGGGGGCCGAATACTTTCGCAAGGCATTGTACATCCATCCATGCATCCTTTTTCTTCCCCTTAATCCATTTCTGGGTTGGGGGGATGGCAGAGCTGAACCCAGTCACAGAGCACCAGCCCCTCACTGATCCTCCTGCAGGTGGCAAGTCCACAGGAGCCTTGATCTTTCAGCGGGGGCTTCAGGCAAAGTGGGGTTAAGTGTCTTGCCCAAGGACACAGCGACAGCAGTCACCAGTGGGAGTCGTTAAGTAGGTCTCATGATGGGCTTGAACCCACAACCTTCAGGCACAAAGGCCGTTGCTCTACCAACTGAGCCACTGTCGCCCCTGACAGTGGAATTTACAATAATTAAAAATAAACAAATCTTCAGACTTCATGAGTGGCTGAAGAAACAGGTCAAAAACCAATCCGAGAACATTGGAAGTGGCAGCATGTGTTGATTTTAATGCTATGATTAATTAGGGTAATTTACTGTACCCCTGTAATAATAGTACCCTTGTGTTTTGATGGACCTGTTCAATTAGTACTTGATTGTAAGTACAATACATACAGTCATTAGACTCATTCATACTGCACAAAAACCTTGGTGACAGCTGGCATGACAGAATGATTCAGCATATAACCTTTGCAAATCCCTAGGTGCCTTGCAACCCGGTTCATGGTCAGTGTGGATACCAAACTGTTTTCTAGGGTGTTGGTTACATATGGGTCAGGTGAAGTCACACAACGTACAATATTCTGCATATTGACATCGTAAAACAACCCGCTTAACAAGAAACGTCAGAGTTTAGGCCGTTGCATAAGCTGCATTTTCTTTTATAAAATTCTGTTTGTAGAAACCCATTCATCCATTTTCTACCCCTTTATCCATTTCTGGGTCGGGGTAGGGTGGCATCTCTGATTGCCACCCAATTCACTGAGCACCAGCCCCTCACTGAACCTCCTGTAGGTGGTGAGTCCACAGGAGGACAGCTGCTCTGTAAGTGTGAGCATAGCCTTGATCTTTCAGCGGGGGCTTAAGGACACAACGACGGCAGACATCAGTGGGAGTTGGTGGAGAAGGTGGGATCGAACCCACGACCTTCCTTTGCCTAAAGGCCAATGCTCTACCAACTGAGCTACTGAGAAACTTTCATTTCTTGTAGAAACATTTTTTAAATTATGTGTATTGCTCCACATGGATGATAAACTTGCCGCCTGTGGCATTGTATTCTCTCTGGTCCAGGATGCAAGTAGCCTGACTCTCGCCAGACCCTTGTAGTTCCGCCATGCTCCACCAGAGTCGTTTTGCTGAACACAAGGGTCTGGGATCGAGTGCATTGTAAACTTCTTCAGGAGATCAAAAAATAATCGGCCAATCAGGATCGCCGGTGTGACGTCGGGTTTGCACCGCCTTCTAGTGCGTCTCAGACAAGCCCCGGTGATCCAAGATGGCGCCCTATTCAAATGAATGGCTTGTGTTCAGTAGCGCATGGAACTTCACGGGGACCGAGGGAGATTAGCAGAACTCGCCTATATTTGGGCATCGTCTGGTCCTCCCGGTTCTGTGCAGTGGACCAGCTCCCATGATGCGTTGCGCCAAATACGCATGTGAGGGGCTTGGGCGCGCTCTGACCAATCAGCGCTGCAGATCAAAGCAGCGGTAGAGTGGAGTCAGAGCGGGAAGGAAAGGAGCAGAGTTTGTGGGAGTAAAATGTTGATTTAAAGAAAACCGAATGATTTAAGAAGAAAAAAAGTTCAGGATGACAAGGGACACTAAAATCCACACAAAATCCGACCTTTATGGAAGCTGTAGGTTCTCTGTCAGCTGATGTCCAGCTGTTTTACATTGAGTTCTATGGGACTTTTTTCTGGGTAGCCCACGTAAATTTAGTCTGCATTACCACGGGCGCCCCCTGTGCCCATGGGTGGGACAGCTATAAGCTAGTAATACCCTATCCAGTAATTACTATAGATCCATGGTCTCAGCCAAATCATAGCCAAGATAGTGGACAGAAAGTCCGTAAATAAAAAAGTTTAAATACAAACGAATTAAGACACGGATGTCACTTTTAATTCAATTTGAGGCGAGATGTTGATGGTTCTATGTTGTTATATATGTGTTTTAAGAGTCAAATTTTTTGTAAAGTTTGGTTTAAGTACTATTTAAGTGCTCATCACAACACTACGCAGCAGGGTTGCCAGGTTGGGTGGTTTCCTGCATACTTTTTTTTACAAGAGACTTGTAGGTGATACATAAACAGACAGACAAAACAGAATCATGATAGGCCAATTTGATTGCATTACGTTTTTAGACAAAAAAATCATTCTGGGTGTTT